CATTCATCAACGCAAGCAACACAACATAGAGCTAATTTACCCAACATCACCTTGGAATTCATTCAGGGCTTTGCACAACACACCTGCTGGGTGTGTACACATTACAAAGGTGTTTAGATTCCACCCATAGATCATGCTGGGAGGGAACACACTGCAGAGGTGTATACACATGTGTGGTGTGTTTATAAGGTTAGTAAATCAACCCCATTGTATGTTACCAATCGAGTTTTCATTTTTCATATTTATTATCTTTCTTTTGTTTAGGTGCCTAAAATTTTCCTCACAGTGATTGTCGCAAAAGCATAATACCCATTGCAATTATTACTTGTGATAGTATAATGGCTGACCTTGAGTTTTATCCTTAAATTTAGGGTAAAGGTTGGAGTTTTGAGTTAGGGGTTTTCTTCAGTAAAGGTTACATTCCAAGGTCATATTGAAGGGGGTACATTAAGTGTAATGTATGGGTTTAGACATGAGACTGAGGTTAAAGTTTGATTGAAGTTTTATTTGATTAAAGGATGCGTTAAGGTTCAGTAAAAATAAATAGTCTTTTTTAGATTGTGATAAATTAACTGTTCATGTGTCATATACTGTATATGTGCACTGATGTATCACATGCAGTAAGAGCATCAGTGTCATGTATCAAAAATGTAGCACCAAGACTCCTGCACCCAAAATAATTGAGCCACAAAACACATACCTCACTTTAAAACTGGTACTAACCCAGACATGATATGTCTTTGTAAAGCATATAGCATGTTTAAAAGGAAGAAAATATATCCTGTTTATCTGGGCTAGGAGCCAAGCTCTTAAAGTTGAGGCAGACCCCGGGTCAGACTTATGGATTTTATGTAATAACGTACTCGCTGCTTATTAGTCTTTTTCCAGCAGACACTGAGCCTGATCTTAATAATGGATGAAATTGTGTATCCTTTGAAAAGCTTTTTCTCCTACAGATACATTGACTGAAACCATCCTGTGCACACAGGGAGCATCCCTCCTGCTTTATTGCTTACTTAGAACTTACATGGTTCTTCTGTCAAGATGAGGCATAGCAAGACGGCAGCTAAGCAAACAATCCATATCTCATTAGCGCAATAAAAGGAGATGTTGTATATTCTTTATTTATTTTTTTTCATTTTTTTGTATTATATTTGCTGTAGGAATAGTATGAATTCTGAATAGTATGTTCAATGAGGTGTCATTTGCAAGCACTGAGGTGCAAAATAGCTTGCAATCTTGAAGGCAGTGTTTAGAATATTTTATGGCTAATAATTTCTCTGTTAGATAACATACATTCTATTCACAGCACTGCACACACCATAATACAACTATCTGCAAAGGAATTTACCTTTTAAATTTTTATTTTCACATATACTTCCCCCAAGAATGTAACTAGGGAGGGGGATGTTTTAATATAGGATCCATTAGTATGATTTTGGACTATAGTAATGACATATTGCTTACAATGGCTTCCAAACAATTTGCTCCAGCTTTCACCCTAATGCAAACATTGTGGAGATTTGGCCTTCCTTCACACCTATAATTTAGTTGCATTTAGGGATTCCTGCATCAGGAACTTGCAATTTCCTGTAGTAGGAATCCCTAATCTTTCATTTACAAGTGGCTGTTGTCACTTTATTTATATGTGGATTCAGGAATCCTATTTTTCGACGTAGTGTTTTTAGTTTTTCGTATTTTTCCTTTTTTTAAGCAAAAAAGAAACAGAGACAAAACTAACAAATTTGTGCTGGGGGCAATTTTACCTAAGGGGTGGGAGTGATTGTATTGGCAAGAGGGTTGAATTTTTGCTTGGAAGGCACTTCTTAGTCCTGACCTCTGTGCGATGCTTAGGGGGTTATTCACTAGAGCCAAAGGATTTATCCAAACGTTCAGCTAATCTACGGCTCGCTTCGGCTGCAGGAACCGACCCGAAGGGCTGTGGTACGCGCTATTCACAATAGCCCTATAGCACCCGAAGGTAGCCGAAGCACACAGCTAAGCGAAATGCATATGCTTCAGCTTGGCACAGCTGGAATGGGGAGAGCGGTTTGAATTTAACAAAAACAACAAGGAGTATCCTGCAAATTCATACCAGACTCTTTAGGTCTGGTTGGAATTTTAGGAGGGACCCCTGACGTTAAAAAAACAACAAGAAATGTGGGGTTCCCCTCAATGAGGGGTCTCCTCCCAATTCATACCAGACCCTTTAGGTCTAGTAGGTATTTTAAGGGGGACCCCAACGCTCAAAAGACTGAAAAAAATGTGGGGTCCCCCTAAAATTCCAAACCAGACCCTTAAACCGAGCACTGGCCTGGCAGGGCAGGAAAGGGGGGGAGAAGATCGAGTGCCCCCGTCCCACCATACCAGGCCTCTTCCCCACAACCGTAGCCCCGTGGTTGTAGGGTCTGCGTACAGCATGGCTCATCTTCACCTGGGTACCCCTTTTCACCTGGGAGTAAAGGAAAAAGTAAATAACCACACATCTTAAAAAAAAATCCTTTAGCTGAACAAAAAATACAAAGTCAGTTGTAAAAAATAAAAACCCAAAAAATGGTCCAACTATGTAATCCGACATCAATCACGTCATCCAGCAATATAATCCAGCGTCAAGTACGATGAACGATGTCTGCCAACTTGGCGAAATAAGAAAGTCCAGATGCCTGTGCACCTGTCCGCTCCCAACAAACTCCCATCGCTAAATTACAGATTTGACAGCTGAGCTTACCAATTTTAGCAGATCAAATGGCATGTTTACATGCCATTTCATAGCATTCCCCTATTCACTTTCGGCTGTTCGGCCCCTATGAAAATAAGGGTGAACAGCAGAGAATGAACTGCTGAATGTTTGAATCTACTGATCCAGATGTTGCATCGGCTGAGGTAAACGGATTCTTCCTTTAGGTTTAACCGAACGTGCTAAGGCTGTTCAGCTGTACTGAAGGGAAGTGAAGCACACTGATTGCAGCTGATGTAGGGATAAAAATACAGGGCTGCAGTGATGAGCAGTGAATAGTAAATCCATTCTCTTTCTCTCCTTTTGCTGCCTGTTAGCTCCTCCCCTGCTAGCAGCATGTGGGCATTCCTGTTAACTCAAGCAGAACTCATTTACTCCCACCCCTTCTGAGGTGACCATGCATTTCAGGTCCAGTGCTGCAAAGTTAACAGAGACACACAAGCCAAAAGAGATCAACAGCAATAAACCTTGTCAGGAGCAGTCACACACCAGTATGTTAGCACTCATTTACCCCCAGTAACTTATACAAAGGATACTATTACAAACTCTCTGACTCTGTGAACATAGTGCTTTCAAATGTGAGAAACCATTCAAACTTGTGGCGCCTAGGGAAATAAGTTCAATTAGTCCTGTTAGAAACCACAGCTCTGCCCACATCAGAATGCTAAAATACTGTATTTTCCACAGCAGAATAGGTTCCAGCAACTGCAGCTCTTTGATCCCCACAGATATAAGTATGAACACAGCATATGTGTGAATTCTTAAATTTGACAGCACTATATTTACAGAATCTGAGAGTTCGCAATAGTATCCTTTGTACAAGTGACAGGGGGTGAAGGAGCACCGATATTCTGATGTGTGACTGACAGGTTAAAGAGATGAGTTCACCACAGTACACAGACAGAGCTCTACATTCTTCCACTGCCTCTGCCATGAGCGCGCCTGTGTCCTGGTACTCTGGCTGACATGCCCTCTCCTCCTGCATGCCTAATTACTGTCAATCCAAAATTCATTAAATATTTGTCTCTCTGGAAGCAGCATGGTAAGACAGTGGTAATGGGAGGGGTGTTTTGTTGACCGTGCTAGCTTAGCAGCCAGACCACTTAGAAAAACAGGACAAAGTGCTATATGCACTTTGATCCCCGGTGGGGGACAAGAGAGACAAAGGAAACGTTTGATAAGCCTTCTCCGGTAACAATACCATTTTCAGCCCCTGTTGACACAAGGGCATCACATGTTGACAATGCTTCCATCCAAGGGTGGCTTCATTGCTCCTCAAGAAAGTGGAAACACTCTATGACTTTGTGTATGTGTGTGTGTGTGTGTGTGTGTGTGTGTGTGTGTGTGTGTGGTGTATTAATAGCCAGATCACCAGGTGAAATTAAAGAGAATAAAGCCTTAAAAAAAAGGAGGCAACCACCACATTTAAGGATTGGTAAGCTGCAATATGTTAATTTTGGAGGGGTTTAGATACACTTTAAGTCTGAAGAGAGAATATCGAATAGACACCATCTTACACTATATAATTGTAAAGGCATGTGATGTTTCTTATAGAATTGTACTTAAACTTTTATTTTTCACTTTTTTATTAGATTTTCATAATTAAAAATTGTAACAAGGTTAAATTTAACATTCATGAAAGATGTGTTTTTGTTGGAATTGATTAACAGTGAGTCATAAAATAATGTAAAGTTATACCTGGAAAGAACAACAATTTAAAGGTAGAAGAAAGCACTAAAAGAATACAATTTAATTCAACACACAACCATGGTGGTAACAAATACTTATAACTTAACTACAGTACAACCTAGTAAACCAAAGTAGTGTGTCACTGGTATAAATTGAATTTAAAGCGTGATAGTTATTGAAATACATTGTTATTTTTAATTAGAAAGAATTGAAATTGTTGTCTACATGGAGTCAATCAATATTATTGTCTTAGCAATCAAAGATTTTTTATAATGAATAAGGCAATGAGGCTGCCCTTGTATACAATGTGATTGGGAACAAGCTGATGCAAGTTCAAAAATCCCACCCATTTAAAAAAACATCCATAATTATTTTCTAATAATGATAAGCAGAGATTAGATCATCATATCGTTGTTATATTTTTCACTCCCATTAAAATGCTGGATCAAGGACAATACAAACAGCAGTCCTTTTATGCAGTCAGTAGAAAAGCTGTATATGCATTGAATGAGAGCATGGCAGATAATACTGCTTTAAAGTATTAAATAATTTCTACTTTTTCTTTTAATTTCAGTTATCCTGCTGGATTCCAAAGAATCACAGGCCGAGTTGGGCTGGACTTCACATCCATCTAATGGAGTAAGTGTTGCATTTGATGGGCTGAAATGTTGAGGGGTGGTTTACAGAACCTAAAGTGGTAATAGACAAATAATAATCATCAGTCAATACCCTATAGTGTTAATGAGAACTCTTAGGTGAACTGAGCTTTCATTTTGTACCCGAGGATAGACTTAAATACATATTTAGATATTGCATACCTAGTGTTACATGAATAATTACATTCAGCCAATTGTTTATTTTTTAGTAATGGCAAGATTTTATTTATAATATTCAGTAATATAATAATGAATAAAACTAATATAAAACACAATATAAAACATATTTATTAATACACCAAGAGGCATCATTCTTTGACCCAACCATTCAATCAATCTGTTTAGATTGGTAAGATTTTATTTGAACAGCACTATTAGAAGGTCCATTTCCACCAACAGGAAAGGTAAGAATTCTGTCTTATGCAGCGTCCCCCCAGGGGCAACATGGGACAAGATTTTCACCACTTCCTTTGATCCACTGAGGAAGCAATACAAGGATGCAACCTGCATTACAGGTGTTTAGATATGAGGAATAGAAGCAGGAATGACCAAACATATTAGGGAGAGGCTTAGCACAGGGGCATATTTTAGTGTTGGAAAAATAAGTAGCATTTTGTTGATGCCTACAGCTGCACTAAAGAAACATAAACTCATCACTAGAAGGAGCACTGTGGAATAATACCCTGGCATCCATGGCACATGGATTTGTATTGCAACAATGCTTACAGCCTGAATCTTCTTTCAGAATTTAATGCATTTCTTGATTGGGATACTTTGTCATTATAAAATCATTATTTTGACCTTTATCAATAAATATGAACAAATATTTGTTTACAAGTGTGTGATATAAAAAAGGGTGAATCTTCATGGCTCCCATTAAAAATACCCTCACAATAAAAAATAATCTCATAATGTGTAGGGTTAAAATACTAGCTGCATTCAGCTGAGTAAATGTATGTGACTCTGCTTGTACTTGTCACCATTAACCTGGATGAACCTGAGCTGCTCTTGAATCTCTTCTTCTCAAGATAAGCTTCTTTTTATAGTCTTAGCAGACAGAAGGTTATGACAAATACTTTGAGATGCCTCTAGGGTATACATAAAGTTCAGAAGGTGGTATTTCCAGAGAGAACATATTATGGGAAGCTGCATAGGGATGGGATCAGCATGAATACAATGCAGTATTTCTTCAGAGAAAATGTAGGCCCACAAAATAGTCTGTAATGCCAGGTGGTTATTTTTGGTTTCCTATTCTACCTAAGCAAATTACAGAGAGCTGACAGGAATTACCAACAAAGAACAGTTGTAATTTAGCTTTGAAACCTGGGGCAGAACACAATCAGAAATATGTGATTTCACTGCTTAAATGTTGATCATAAAAGGCGTCATGGCTTCATCAATTCTTACAAAACATCGGAGAAAACCACTAAGGATTTAACACTCAGTTGTCCATGGGCTAGTTTATAGCTTTGCAGCCTAAATTTCGTAAATTATTAGAACATTTGGTGTATGTAATGCTGAATAGTTAGCATTGGTTTACCTAGTAGCAATTAGTGTAATTCAACTGGATATGTTCTGTAATGTTGAAGACGTGACTAATCACTACTAGGTATATCATGACCTGAGTAAATGAGAACCTTCACAGACATTTCCCTGGTTTATTAAATATAGCTGGTTTTAGTATATATTAACTTGATAAAATAAAAAGCATGCAGGTGATATTTGAAAAAAATGCACACAAATACACTAATACAGAAATGGGCAGCTTGCTATTTTTATTTTTTTTTATTTTTTTTACTCTACTAAAGAAATGTGTCTGAACTTTAAGAGGCTTACACTGGCCCAAAAATTATTTGCACCATGACATCCAGTAATTGCCAAACCTGCTACTTCACGTTTTTTGTATTGTGTTGTCTTTTGTTTGGCTGCATAAAAATTTGTTTTCTCACTTTTTTCTCTTCTTGTTGTAAACCTTTATCTAACTTTTCTAGTCAAAAGTAAAATTATGTAACAGTCCCCCTGGAAAAATAAGGATCACATGTATTGCCCTGAATATGTAACAGATTGCCCATTGTAAAGGCATGTTTACATAAATAAAAGAGAAATTCCAGCTTATGCTGTGTTGTTTTAATCAAAATCACTATAATCAACATATTATTAGTAGACATGTAAGCCGGCGAAAATTTGTTCAGTTTCAGATTTTTCTTTATTTTGGGTTTCGTGTTTCGTTTATTATCTTTCCGAATTTCGTTTAAGTTTCGGACGGGGTTTTCTGTTTGGCCAGAAAACACGTGTCCGATTTAGTTTTATTTTAAACGAAATTTGAATGATCCAAAATGTAATTAAAAGAACATTCAGATTCCTTTGCATTCAGCCTCCGTGGAATTCGGACATTCACATGCGTCCAAATTCACAATTTTTTTTTCAGAATTTGCATTTGGAACGAAATTTTATTTTTATGTCTAATTATTAGGTGCATATTTTTAAATAGATGAAGATGTTGAGAGATATAGGGTGCTTTATACAACAAGGAGACACTCATATAGTAGTCTAAAATAGCCTACTGACTCCCTTAACCAATTTCTGAAATTATGGTAGATACAGGTTGCAAATTCCAAAGCCATCAGAGCCACTTCCCAATTTTTTATTTTAGGTCTGTAAGAGATCTTTTACCAAAGTAGTGAATGAAAGACTGTAATATATATGCTTCCCTGAGTTCAAGTTACTTACTCATTGAGATGCAAGAAAAACATTATAAAATGGTGGGGGTCTTATGAGGTAACCTCATGCATCATACATAAAGTATATTCTATACATAAGGTATATTCTTTCTTATTATTTAACTTGTAGAACTGCATAAATGAATTGGAAAAGTAGAAAGCACTTTTAGCTTATGTAATTTGCTTTCCCGCTGTTTAAACATGATCTTTGCAGAAAAAAACTATCGCTATACTATTGGTTTCAAAAAAGAAAACTAGTTGATAGTGGGAATTTGTCTTCTGATTCTCTGTTCATGAACTATTGTAATAGTGTAACCTTACTTAAAATGAGTTCTTTAATTTGTTTACTAGTATTTGTATTCTCTCCCATCAAAGCTACACGGTGTGTAAAGCTGCAGTAGGTGTATAAGACTGTCCTATTGAAGGTTCAGTGCTGCTAACATAATTCAAAAACTGTCATACAATAAACAATCTGTCAAGACTGAATAAAATGGCACTAAGCATCTTCAATTAGCCGGCCCTGAGCTCAAGTAAGAGAAAGGTCATCTACCATGGGAGCATGGCATTGAGCTACCATTTATGCTCTGAAAGGAAAAGAAAACAAGTGAATAATAGTACACACATAACCTTGGGGGATAATGTTGTACTATTACTGCAATATATATATATATTCCTGTCCTTCATGGGTATATCTAATCTAAAAAATGCCCACCCATGTCCATTTTTCTAATTATCTTCATATTTATTCTCCACTGTATTTTATGAAATACTGCACAGAGTACATGTCATTGATATACTGCACTTTTTTCCCTTATGAAGCTAACTGGGTGGTCAAATATGTCAGGAGTATAGGAAAGGGGCACATAGCACTTTATATCAGTAATTGTGGCTATTGCAATATGTAATTGTATTGTAGTTTATAATGAATAATTCAAAGTAAGCTACAAGCGAGATGGCCACAATAAAAGAAGAAGATACGATTCAGAAAGACTTTACAAAGAAGAACAAAGAGGAAGATAATTTGAGAGTGAGGAAGAAAAAAGACAGCTCCAGAGAAAGGGATAAAAAGGCAGAGAAAGAAAAAGGGGATAGAAATTAGAATGGATAAGGAGGCCTAAGAAACTGCAAGCAGAGCTGCCATTAAATAATATGGACATAAGAGATGATAATGTCTAAAAAATATACAAAATTATTTTAATATTAATAAATAAAGGTTTTATGTAGGTTCTAGTAGGTTAAACACATGTGAAAATAAGCATTTGAATGTCCGCAACTGTTGAGTCTTGCAACATTACAACAAGTTAAGAGGGTAAATTTGGATTCTTACTAACACCTAATACTAAAACAGGCCTCAGTCTTACAGGTATGTCGCAGGCATTTGTTTTTCCTTGCCTGTGTCGTCTATCTTTTATAAACTATTACATCCTCAGATGTTCCAATTCTTGCAAATGCTTATTCCTATTTTTTTTCTTAGTGGGAAGAAATTAGTGGTGTTGATGAGAACTACAAGCCAATTCGCACGTATCAAGTGTGCAATGTCATGGAGCCAAATCAGAACAACTGGTTACAAACAGGCTGGATTCTGCGGCGGAATGGGCAAAGGATCTTTATTGAGATCAAGTTCACTCTGAGAGACTGCAACAGTATTCCTGGAGTGGTGGGAACATGCAAGGAGACCTTTAACCTTTACTACATTGAATCTGAATTTGATATGGGGAAAAACATCAAAGAGAGCAAGTATGTAAAAATTGACACCATTGCAGCTGATGAAAGCTTCACCCAAGGGGATCTTGGAGAACGTAAAATGAAACTGAATACAGAAGTAAGAGAGATTGGACACCTTAACAAAAAAGGTTTTCACCTGGGATTTCAGGATGTTGGGGCCTGTGTTGCCATAGTATCTGTGCGTGTCTATTATAAAAAGTGCCTCTCCACAGTGCAGAACCTGGCAGTATTTCCGGACACAGTGGCAGAGGCAGCCTTTTCAACATTGGTGGAAGTTAGGGGGACTTGCGTGAATAACTCTGAAGTAGACTTGGATAATCCACCCAGGATGCATTGCAGTGCAGAGGGGGAGTGGCTGGTCCCTATTGGAAAATGTACTTGTAGTGCTGGCTTTGAAGAAAAGGAAGGTAGCTGTACAGGTAAAACTCAGTTTAAAGTTTCTATAGATTCTCTTGACTGATAATGTATTTCTGGTATAATTTAAAAAAAATCAAAATGCAAGTGAATGTTATATTTCGGTAGCTGATTAGAGATGGTTAGAGATCCAGTAAATAAAACAGATCAGTTGCTACAATTGCTATAGAACATATCTGCACTGTATACCTCTGTTGATTAAC